CGATGGTACAATGAACTGTAACACAATCGTAATAGACGAAATGATTGAATCACTTACTAAACAGCTGCTTATTTGCATTGACAGAATTCAAAACAAGCTGGAATTCGTTTTGAAAAGTTATCTTTACATAACAATTATTATGTTTTCTAGCTTTGTTTGTTAATTAATTATGAAATATGACAAAAAATATAGTTCACCGCACGGTCAAAAAGTGTCACTTTAGGCCCTAGCGATGAAATATGCTATTAGTTACAACTATCTATAAGAGAAAATGAATTCGGTCCATCCAACTCCAAGCTAACATCTACATATTAATATGCAAAGCTTGTTTCTTGAAAACCTTTTTTCTCAGCTCGTGTGCATCGCAGGGTAAATCTACGCATACTGTTGAAAAGATATTTTTCCGTAGATGTGAAAAATCCCTTTATTAATTAAAATGGGCTAAAAAAACACAAACAATTTAATTTTAATTTTAATAAATTAATATGGACCTTTTGGGTTGCCATGCTGGTGACGAAATAACGCAAAAAATATTCAAAATCAAAACAAATGGAAAAAATTCCAATCACCTGTTTCATTTACAGCGTGGGTCAATATAGAAAAGTCTGTAAATTACATATTTTTGGTCGAGATTTCGACCACTGGACAACCTATAGTTTATTTAAAACCTTTACATTAAAAAAGTTATAAATTTATTACATTAATTTATTACCTCAGCCTATGTTGGGTAATTTATTGCCGAGAGATATATAGTTTGTATTTTACTTTTAAGTCTAATTTTAAAAGGTTTAGCTTTTAAACCCTCCCCATAAATGAAACAAGCAAATCAAGTATACTGTGAAGTTACAAACAGTTAAACAATAAAATTGGTCAGTTTTTTAAAATGTTCACCAGTTCCACATTTCACATTTAAACATTCAAAACTACTTGAACTCGATAGTATGCGACCGTTATTGCCAAGTGTTCTACGAAATAGACCCCCCAACGGACGACATTCATTATTTCCATGTTCTGCAAATTCATTGAATAGAATACTGAACCTCTCAGAGAATTCGAGATAGTTTTGCCAATGTTAGACCTTCCACGAAATACAGGTCCACTGAACTATACCCCAATCCGTTATGTACACATATTAAAAAAAAAAATACATTGGGCCATTTTCACCAATTTAGTGAATATAAAAAAAAGAGTTTAATCCCGTGGCGGATCCAGCCAAGGATCCCTTGGCCAGAAAATCTTTAACCATCGGGTAATATCATATAACATATTTCGCTTTAATTTTACAAAGCCTTGTAAACCGATTTGAACCCCTTAAAAAAAATACTGAATTTTCGTTGAAAATATATGTCAAAATATTCAATCTTGACCGCGCAGTCGGGCAGTCCTATAATTTTCCCAGAGTAGGCCGCATAAAATATTGTCTTCTTAAGCGTTTCCGAAAAAAAAAATGACAGCGGATCAGAAATTCAGAGATAAAATGTCTATCTGACATAAAAGTAACCAAATACACGCAATGTACAAACAAAAATACAATTTATTTCATAACGTTTATCGTAGGCCTACACAATCACAAAAATATTTTAATTTTAAACTAATTATAACAATATATCTTAACAATGTGTCATAACATTATATTCAGTAATATTATTGCATAGAATGCGTTTATATTTTCTGTAATATATATTCAACTTACCCAAAATGGGTAAAAAAAGAAGCTAGCTAACCTAGGCGATTAGGCCTGGATCAATCAGAACTTGTCTGACTTTTAACATTTTTAGGTTTACTGTTTGGAAATATTCAAATTATGATTTTAAAGTCAATCCCGTTACTGTAGCTAAGCTCTCTGTGGACTGAAACAGGGGAACGATTCGTTCTAAAAGAGTCGTTTCAGAGCCTAGTTCAGCTAATCTCTCCCTCCCCCCCGGTCGAACCCCTATTTGGCCCTAACTTTCCGTGTCCCTAACTTTCCTTGTCCCCATCTTTCCTAAACTCGGTGTCTGAGAATACCGGCATTCTCGGACTGATGTGGCCACTCCTCAAGGTGAGAATTCCTCTGCCGCTGAAGACGAAGATCACCGTGTTTCTACTCCTTGTACGCTCCTGCATGATGTACGCTTCGGAGGCCTGGTGGGCCCTCGCCAGCAGGACCAACAGGAGGAGGAGACTGGAAGCCGTCCAGTCGAGGACACTGCGCCGGATCACCGGCAAGCCCTGGTTCGTCCGGAACACCACCATCAGAGCAACGGCTGGGGTTCCAACGCTGGAGGACTTCACCAAGGCGAAATCAGCGAAGCTCTTCCAGAAGGCTGCGGAGTCGGCGTTCGACCACATCAGGGAACTCTACAGCCACAACGACATCGCAGAGGATCGGGGACCTACTTTGAAGATATACTGTGTGCAGCAGAAACCAAAGAGGTGTTGTACAAAATTGTACTTGAAGTTATCAATGTGGCAAGGAAAAACCACATTCAACTGAATAAGGATCAAATTCAATACTTTGTTGAAAAAGTGCGATTTTTAGGACAAGAATTTGATTGTAATGGCGTTAAACATGACTGTGACAGAATCAGAGCTTTTAATGAACTGGAAATACCTAAGAATAAGACAGAACTTCAACGAATTTTAGGCACTGTGAATTACCTTAGGCCTTTCATTCCTAACTTAGCAGAGCAACCAATTTCGTCTATTGTTGTTATTTATACTTCGTTTTAGTGTTCACTCATTAAAAAAAAACCTACGTGTAGCCTACTTTCTCCGTCATGGATAGATAACAACTTACAAAACAATTTTCGAATTGTATATAAATGTTTTCATTCTTGAATGTGTATTTGTTTCTGACTCACACACAAAAATACAACATATTAACTATATCGTCTCAAGAAACAAATTATTTCTCCCCACGGCACATGTGATTTACCAAGTGTGCGACTATGGCATGACCGATGTCGCGTTAAGTGTACACCTACAACTACATCAGTAACACACAAGTTAAGTCTATTATTATATAACACGAACATTATTTTGTTGGGGTTTTTTATTATTTGCTAAAATAAACCAACTAATCTAATAAACAATATCAAATTTTGATATTATGAATTGACACACACTGACAACCGTTGTTCGGAAAACGTCTCGAGTTGTGTCTAAGACGCGGTGGACATAAGTGGCTGGTGTTGGAACTGACGGATCGCTCAACATGCAGTAGCTGATTTTGTTTAATCCAATGTTTCGCTTAACCTTATTATCGCTCTTTACATTAATCAAAAGTAGCACATTCGGATTACAAACGTTTTTATAACTGCTTACAGTGTTGCGTGGGGGTACTGTCGCAGCGACGACACTATTCAACACGCGATAAAACGTTGTCTATGTCTTGGAATCCACACACTCCGTTACACCAATTAGTAATGTACAGTTTTAAATGAAAACGGAATCTTAATATTTTTATTTTCTTTCGAAAAAAAAAACCAACTGTTAATTGTAAATTTTCCAAAACAACCGTTTGCTAAAGTCTTGAAAGAAACGTCCACCAAGCATATTCTGTACGGTACGTAGTGTTAGATAGTTAAATCTGTAAGTGATTAATTCATCAGCTGATTTATTATTGTTTGTTAGTAAATATTCTGTTTACATTGATGTGTTTAAGAATTAAATAAAATGGTTCTTGTGTATCATAAATATCTTTTAGTGTAATTCTATATTGGCGACGATGAGTAAACGAACCAAAAGAAGAAATAGTTATTTCAACGAAGAAGAGAAGTATGAAACTAAAGAAGACACATTACAATCAAAGATAGAGAAGTTCAAATGTCAAAGCTATGATGAGTCTAGTAGGTGGGACGATTATGAAGCACATTTTCTATTATTATGCAAGGTAAAAGGATTGAGAGAAGACTCTCATAGAGCAGAGGATGCTCGAAGGGATCTTTTGCTTGCATATGTGGGTCCTGCACCATTAAGAAAAATTTCAAACTTTCTACTGCCTTTGAAAGTACATCAGGCTACATGGGCAGAACTAGGTAATGGTTTCAGGTCAGTATACAAAGCTAGAAAAACTATATTTTCAGCTAGAATGGAGTTTGAAAAATGCATCAGAGAAGATAGCGAAAGCCTTTAAGAATTTGTAATACGTTTGAAAAATGTAGCAGAATTTTGCAAGTATGAGAATAAGTTTGATGAAAGAATAAGAGACAGATTGGCAGGAGGTATACATTTTCCAGAGTTTGAAGTAGAAATTAGACAACGATGGCCTGATGGTGTAAAAGAAAATGGTGACAAATAAACATCTGAAGATATTTTTGAACTGGCCACTTCAATGGAAAGAGCTCGTCATGAAATATTCAAGAATAACGATAAAGAGCTGGAAGTATCGCAAGTAAGAAGAAACAATAGGGGGTCTAAGAGAGAAGTGGAATATAACGGAAAGACAAATCATCCATGTAGTAGATGTGGAACAAAACATGAATTTGGCAAATGCCCAGCCTACCAAAAACAGTGTTTGAATTGCAAAAAAAATAGGACATTTTGGAAAGGTATGTCGGCAAAAACGAGTGAATAATTTGCATGAAAAATCAGAAGATAAAGAATCTGAAGCAGACTCTCATGACATGAGGATAAACGATGTTAAAAAGGAAAGAGGACATATTTTTAAAGCACGTATTTATTTAAAGTTAAATAAGGTAGCTACAAACATGGAATTTGACTCAGGAGCTTGGGCCTCAATGATAGGTAAGCCTCTTTGGGAGAAGATTGGTTCACCACGACTTGACAAGACTAATCCAAAATTTGTGGCATATAGGAACAATATTTTAGATATACTTGGTGAATGTTATGTCAATGTTTCAGTAAGTAATGAGACACGTAGATTAAAAGTAGCAGTAGTAAATGGAAATGAGAAACCATTATTTGGTTTACCATGGATATTAGCTTTTAATATGGAACTCCCTCCTGATGTAACTATTAGTAAAGTAAGATGTAAGCAAAATCTAAAACAACAAAAGATGGATGATGTGAGGGTTAAGGAAGTACTAAAAGACTTTGAAGATGTATTCTCTGAAGGACATGGGAAAATCAAGGGTTATAAAGCACAAATTCACGTTCAAGAAGATGCAAACCCCCAACATTTTTCTGCGCGCAGGGTTCCATTTCCCTTGAAAAAACGAATTGAGAGTGAACTTGCAAGACTTGTCAATGAGGATATCATTGAAGAGGTAGATCCTGCTACTACAGCTATTCCATGGGCCACTCCAACAGTCAACGTAGAGAAGGACGATGGTTCAATAAGAATTTGTGGAGATTTTCGAGTCACGTTGAATCCAAATTTGGTCCCAGAAAATGCTATTATTCCAACATTTGAGGAACTAACAAATAAAGTTGCAGGTGGACAAGAGTTTTCCAAGATAGACCTACGAGATGCTTACCTACAAATGGAGGTTGCAGAAGAACACCGAAAGTATTTAGTAATAGCAACGCATAGTGGTTATTATAGATACAAACGTTTACCTTTTGGGATATCATCCAGCCCAGGTATTTTCCAGAGATATATGGAAAGACTCTTAGCTGGAATACCACAGGTTGGAGTTCTTCTGGATGATATTATAATATTTGGAAAGAATAAGAACGAACATCTAAGAAATTTAAGAGAGGTTTTGAAACGAATGAAAGAATCTGGTATAAAAGCAAAATCTAGCAAATGCAAATTTTTTGAAGAGTCAGTAACTTACTTGGGACATACAATCAACCGAAATGAAATATATCCTACTGAAGAAAAAATAAAAGCCATACGAGAGGCACGGTCAGAGGTCGGAGATGGAATGCTAGCTCTTCAAAATGTTCTTTTTAGCTACCGAAACTCGCCTCAGAAAACAACCGGTAGGGCTCCGGCAGAATTGTTTCTCGGTCGTAGACTACCAACACTTTTTGATAATATGAAACCTAATCTTAGGAAAAAGATGGAAATGAAGCTTTGGAAAGAACAAGGGAGAAACAACAAGAAAGTTCGATCTTTTGAAGAAGGAGAAGATGTGTGGATTAAGAATGAACATGGAAATGGTTGGTCAGCTGGAATGGTGAAAAATAGAAATGAACTGTATTCATATGATGTACTTTGTGGAGGTGTTATAAAAAGAAAGCATGCCAACCAGATGAGACAAAGAATGGGAGCTGTAGAGTCTGCGTAAAAAGAAGGAGGGGAAAAGTGTTAGACAGTTAAATCTGTAAGTGATTAATTCATCAGCTGATTTATTATTGTTTGTTAGTAAATATTCTGTTTACATTGATGTGTTTAAGAATTAAATAAAATGGTTCTTTTGTATCTTGAATATCATTTAGTGTAATTCTATACGTAGGTCAGGGCGCAGAATCACAATTCAATATGACTGCATCTCTACTATGTGGGCTTGGTACAAGTCGTTTATTCCCTCAACATCTACATTACGATTGGTATAGTTTTTCCTAGCAGGTTTGTGCAGTTCTTCCGCTATGCCTTCCATGGTGAAAATTATGTATATTAACACCGGTTACGTATAATATAGCTTAGTTTTGGATAGGGTTTGAGAATAAATCCCTACTGGACTGAGGCTGTTTTAGGACTTAGTCCTCTTCAGCCAGGGAAAGGATAGCAGCAGTAGCAGAGACGTGTAAATAACGAGAGAGTGTGTAACTACGAAGCGCTATTCTGCCACCGCTGCCGGTTGAGGTTGGGTTGAGTGGTATTTGTTTTATTGAGGATAGCTTTACGGTTGGATTGTGGTTTTCGGAAAGGGAGGTTTGGTTTTGGTTGGGTCGGGTTGCGGGTTTACATCGTTGATTTGACCGACGATGCTCTAAATTTGTCCCGGTAAGAATTGTGATTCTGCGCCCTGACCTACGTTCCGTACAGAATATGCTTGGTGGACGCTTCTCTCAAGACTTTAGCAAACGGTTGTTTTGGAAAATTTACAATTAATAGTTGGCCTCCAGAGTCATGCAGAGACAGATGGATGTCCTGTCCCCGGGGCCTGACACCGCAGTCTGCTTCGTGAAGCGCCGGAATAGACGACGTGGCCAACCTCCCGCAGTGATGCTGGATGCAACGCCGATCCCGTGGAGACATACGGTCAAGTACATGGGCGTCACGTTGGACTCGAAGCTTTACTCTCGGCATCATGTAAACAGGAAGGTGTCTGAGGCTACCGGCATTCTCAGACTGATGTGGCCACTCCTCAAGGTGAGAATTCCTCTGCCGCTGAAGACGAAGATCACCGTGTTTCTACTCCTTGTACGCTCCTGCATGATGTACGCTTCGGAGGCCTGGTGGGCCCTCGCCAGCAGGACCAAAAGGAGGAGGAGGAGACTGGAAGCCGTCCAGTCGAGGACACTGCGCCGGATCACCGGCAAGCCCTGGTTCGTCCGGAACACCACCATCAGAGCAACGGCTGGGGTTCCAACGCTGGAGGACTTCACCAAGGCGAAATCAGCGAAGCTCTTCCAGAAGGCTGCGGAGTCGGCGTTCGACCACATCAGGGAACTCTACAGCCACAACGACATCGCAGAGGATCGGGGACCTACTTTGAAGATATACTGTGTGCAGCAGAAACCAAAGAGGTGTTGTACAAAATTGTACTTGAAGTTATCAATGTGGCAAGGAAAAACCACATTCAACTGAATAAGGATAAAATTCAATACTTTGTTGAAAAAGTGCGATTTTTAGGACAAGAATTTGATTGTAATGGCGTTAAACATGACTGTGACAGAATCAGAGCTTTTAATGAACTGGAAATACCTAAGAATAAGACAGAACTTCAACGAATTTTAGGCACTGTGAATTACCTTAGGCCTTTTATTCCAAACTTAGCAGAGCAACCAATTTCGTCTATTGTTGTCATTTATACTTCGTTTTAGTGTTCACTCATTAAAAAAACAACAAAAAAAACCTACTTGTAGCCTACTTTCTCCGTCATGGATAGATAACAACTTACAAAACAATTTTCGAATTGTATATAAATGTTTTCATTCTTGAATGTGTATTTGTTTCTGACTCACACACAAAAATACAATATATTAACTATATCGTCTCAAGAAACAAATTATTTCTCCCCACGGCACATGTGATTTACGAAGTGTGCGACTATGCCATGACCGATGTCGCGTTAAGTGTACACCTACAACTACTTCAGTAACACACAAGTTAAGTCTATTAATATATAACACGAACATTATTTTGTTGGGGTTTTTTTATTATTTGCTAAAATAAACCAACTAATCTAATAAACAATATCAAATTTTGATATTATGAATTGACACACACTGACAACCGTTGTTCGGAAAACGTCTCGAGTTGTGTCTAAGACGCGGTGGACATAAGTGGCTGGTGTTGGAACTGACGGATCGCTCAACATGCAGTAGCTGATTTTGTTTAATCCAATGTTTCGCTTAACCTTATTATCGCTCTTTACATTAATCAAAAGTAGCACATTCGGATTACAAACGTTTTTATAACTGCTTACAGTGTTGCGTGGGGGTACTGTCGCAGCGACGACACTATTCAACACGCGATAAAACGTTGTCTATGTCTTGGAATCCACACACTCCGTTACACCAATTAGTAATGTACAGTTTTAAATGAAAACGGAATCTTAATATTTTTATTTTCTTTCGAAAAAAAACCAACTGTTAATTGTAAATTTTCCAAAACAACCGTTTGCTAAAGTCTTGAAAGAAACGTCCACCAAGCATATTCTGTACGGTACGTAGTGTTAGATAGTTAAATCTGTAAGTGATTAATTCATCAGCTGATTTATTATTGTTTGTTAGTAAATATTCTGTTTACATTGATGTGTTTAAGAATTAAATAAAATGGTTCTTGTGTATCATAAATATCTTTTAGTGTAATTCTATATTGGCGACGATGAGTAAACGAACCAAAAGAAGAAATAGTTATTTCAACGAAGAAGAGAAGTATGAAACTAAAGAAGACACATTACAATCAAAGATAGAGAAGTTCAAATGTCAAAGCTATGATGAGTCTAGTAGGTGGGACGATTATGAAGCACATTTTCTATTATTATGCAAGGTAAAAGGATTGAGAGAAGACTCTCATAGAGCAGAGGATGCTCGAAGGGATCTTTTGCTTGCATATGTGGGTCCTGCACCATTAAGAAAAATTTCAAACTTTCTACTGCCTTTGAAAGTACATCAGGCTACATGGGCAGAACTAGGTAATGGTTTCAGGTCAGTATACAAAACTAGAAAAACTATATTTTCAGCTAGAATGGAGTTTGAAAAATGCATCAGAGAAGATAGCGAAAGCCTTTAAGAATTTGTAATACGTTTGAAAAATGTAGCAGAATTTTGCAAGTATGAGAATAAGTTTGATGAAAGAATAAGAGACAGATTGGCAGGAGGTATACATTTTCCAGAGTTTGAAGTAGAAATTAGACAACGATGGCCTGATGGTGTAAAAGAAAATGGTGACAAATAAACATCTGAAGATATTTTTGAACTGGCCACTTCAATGGAAAGAGCTCGTCATGAAATATTCAAGAATAACGATAAAGAGCTGGAAGTATCGCAAGTAAGAAGAAACAATAGGGGGTCTAAGAGAGAAGTGGAATATAACGGAAAGACAAATCATCCATGTAGTAGATGTGGAACAAAACATGAATTTGGCAAATGCCCAGCCTACCAAAAACAGTGTTTGAATTGCAAAAAAAATAGGACATTTTGGAAAGGTATGTCGGCAAAAACGAGTGAATAATTTGCATGAAAAATCAGAAGATAAAGAATCTGAAGCAGACTCTCATGACATGAGGATAAACGATGTTAAAAAGGAAAGAGGACATATTTTTAAAGCACGTATTTATTTAAAGTTAAATAAGGTAGCTACAAACATGGAATTTGACTCAGGAGCTTGGGCCTCAATGATAGGTAAGCCTCTTTGGGAGAAGATTGGTTCACCACGACTTGACAAGACTAATCCAAAATTTGTGGCATATAGGAACAATATTTTAGATATACTTGGTGAATGTTATGTCAATGTTTCAGTAAGTAATGAGACACGTAGATTAAAAGTAGTAGTAGTAAATGGAAATGAGAAACCATTATTTGGTTTACCATGGATATTAGCTTTTAATATGGAACTCCCTCCTGATGTAACTATTAGTAAAGTAAGATGTAAGCAAAATCTAAAACAACAAAAGATGGATGATGTGAGGGTTAAGGAAGTACTAAAAGACTTTGAAGATGTATTCTCTGAAGGACATGGGAAAATCAAGGGTTATAAAGCACAAATTCACGTTCAAGAAGATGCAAACCCCCAACATTTTTCTGCGCACAGGGTTCCATTTCCCTTGAAAAAACGAATTGAGAGTGAACTTGCAAGACTTGTCAATGAGGATATCATTGAAGAGGTAGATCCTGCTACTACAGCTATTCCATGGGCCACTCCAACAGTCAACGTAGAGAAGGACGATGGTTCAATAAGAATTTGTGGAGATTTTCGAGTCACGTTGAATCCAAATTTGGTCCCAGAAAATGCTATTATTCCAACATTTGAGGAACTAACAAATAAAGTTGCAGGTGGACAAGAGTTTTCCAAGATAGACCTACGAGATGCTTACCTACAAATGGAGGTTGCAGAAGAACACCGAAAGTATTTAGTAATAGCAACGCATAGTGGTTATTATAGATACAAACGTTTACCTTTTGGGATATCATCCAGCCCAGGTATTTTCCAGAGATATATGGAAAGACTCTTAGCTGGAATACCACAGGTTGGAGTTCTTCTGGATGATATTATAATATTTGGAAAGAATAAGAACGAACATCTAAGAAATTTAAGAGAGGTTTTGAAACGAATGAAAGAATCTGGTATAAAAGCAAAATCTAGCAAATGCAAATTTTTTGAAGAGTCAGTAACTTACTTGGGACATACAATCAACCGAAATGAAATATATCCTACTGAAGAAAAAATAAAAGCCATACGAGAGGCACGGTCAGAGGTCGGAGATGGAATGCTAGCTCTTCAAAATGTTCTTTTTAGCTACCGAAACTCGCCTCAGAAAACAACCGGTAGGGCTCCGGCAGAATTGTTTCTCGGTCGTAGACTACCAACACTTTTTGAAAATATGAAACCTAATCTTAGGAAAAAGATGGAAATGAAGCTTTGGAAAGAACAAGGGAGAAACAACAAGAAAGTTCG